AGTTAGCGTTGAGTAGAAATAAAGTCAAATCTTGTTGTGGTGTTTGTGTTCCACTTTCAGGTCTCAAACTCTTTCACAAACTCTACGCTCAGATATACCTGACTTGTGATACTTGTGAACATCCAATAGATTCACGACTTGACGGCCCAACAGTATATAAGGGTATATAAGGACCGACTTTTGTTAAGTGAAAGTTATTCAACTCAACTCCAAATTACATTACACGAGGCATCCTATTCCACACTAACTCCACATTATATTCATACTTATTGTGCAAAAAACCCATTCCTATACCAACATTATGATCAGAGTAAGTCTCTCACAGTTTTTATTCGTATGTAAAATATTTATATTTAAATTATAATTATAATATTTAATAATAATTGTTGTTTTGCTTGCTCTGGATTTATACTCCATTCGTGTTATTCTATTTCAAGCCTTAATTTAAATACTATTTTCAAGTATTTCATCACTTAAAACTGTTTTAGAAAATAAGTTGAAAAACTTTTGCCTTTATTTGGAGGGCTATAAGCTATTGAACTGATTTGCGAAAAAAATGCAATTTTTTATATTCTTATGACTTCCTGAATTTTACTGATAATTAGACTTTCCTTAACATATGACTTATAGCTAATGTCTTATAATTTGTCGATTTGAAGCTAAAAAAGCAAAAGTGTGTTAAGAATCGGATTTTTTTGTTATAGAAAATTATTTCACAAACATTTCGGAATTTATAATCATTTGAATATCAAATTTGGATAAAAAATAACTTTAAGTGAATATTTCCTCAACCCATAGCTCGCAGTCTTCGCTCTGTTTGCCATCGGATGTAATGCCGGTGGATATGGCGGACAGATAGGAACGGCACAGCTCTCGGCGGGCGCCACATATGGCAGCGGTTTAGCGGCCGCTCCCCTCCAATACGCTCAACAGAGTTACGGCGCGCCGTCCTATGACGCGGCCATTCAGACCCGCAGAACCGTTGAGTTGAGACCACTGGCCACCGACCAAAACGACTACTCCCAGCCCCAGATCATCGAAGTGAACCCGGATCACGTGCCCGTACAGGTGCACTTCAGGACCGGCTCCAGTCGTGTCAATGTGCAGCAGAGCCACACTCCCGGCGCACCCGCACAGGTAGAGCACGCCTCCTTCCAGGACGAGCCCCTACTTATAGCTAATGTCTTATAATTTGTCGATTTGAAGCTAAAAAAGCAAAAGTGTGTTAAGAATCGGATTTTTTTGTTATAGAAAATTATTTCACAAACATTTCGGAATTTATAATCATTTGAATATTTGATTTGGATAAAAAATAACTTTAAGTGAATATTTCCTCAACCCATAGCTCGCAGTCTTCACTCTGTTTGCCATCGGATGTAATGCCGGTGGATATGGCGGACAGTTAGGAACGGCACAGCTCTCGGCGGGCGCCACATATGGCAGCGGCTTAGCGGCCGCTCCCCTCCAATACGCTCAACAGAGTTACGGCGCGCCGTCTTATGACGCGGCCATTCAGACCCGCAGAACCGTTGAGTTGAGACCACTGGCCACCGACCAAAACGACTACTCCCAGCCCCAGATCATCGAGGTGAACCCGGATCACGTGCCCGTACAGGTGCACTTCAGGACCGGCTCCAGTCGTGTCAATGTGCAGCAGAGCCACACTCCCGGCGCACCCGCACAGGTAGAGCACGCCTCCTTCCAGGACGAGCCCC